AGCAATAGTATGGAAATAAAATGTCATGGTAACGGCCTTCATTGCCATTATATACAGTAATAGACCAGAGTAAATGGAGCCCCAACGAAACTATCGTGGTGGCAGTGATCGACCATCTTCGAACACAATAAAAGAAAGCTGATTTCGTACTTATCCTGCGATTTGCACATTTATTTTTTAACCAGACTGTATCTGAGTGTGAGGGTGTAGACTGGATTAATCCGGTTCAGGACAGGGTCCAATGGCGTTCTATTGGAACACGGTAATGAAACTTCGGGTTCCAGAAAAATTGGGAAAATTCGTGACTCGCCGACTGATTATTAACTTTTCGAGATTGACTCTACTCCATGAAGTTTGTCTGTGTTGTGCTGTCCTGTGTACAGGTAGAGGCCTTACGACGGGCCGATTTCTCGTCCAAGGAGTCTTACCGAATGTCTATAGATCAAGTCAACGAAAAGTTGGGACCCGCAGTGCTCAGGAACTTGAAGAACGGGTCGTTCCCAGTATCACAGTATGTATACCCACACGATTCATGATTGTGTCTGACGAGTTTTGATATTATGTGTTGTTGTACCTTAGTGTTATATTACAAGATCAAATACGACGATCTCGTTGCAACCTGAAAAGAAATCCTGACGCGTAAACATGTAATTTAATACGAATTGACACTTTTTTCATTTAAGTATTTTCGACAGGTTTCAACAATACAGAAGTAAGCAGGACTGTGTATAAAATGCAGTGTCATCCCTGGTACATTGAAACAGATCAGAACGTCAACAACAAAGCAGCATGAATGGGAATAAATTAAATTTTAAGACAGGTCTACCCATATATTAAAATGGCATCGAAAACCAAATTGTTACTCAGATATTCATGAAACTAGGAGTTGAAGGAAAGACATGTAAAAACGTTAATTTAGAAATATTGTGATTCCTTTACCAAAAATTTAACATACGCTTGAAATGTGTACATGGAACGACGATAATCTTGTTTGATTGTGTCATGCGGACTGCCACGCCTGGCATACGCAGACAGCCGGTGGCATAGGCAAATCGAACTGTGACGAAGCCAGCAAATGACCTTCATGCTGCCTTGTCGTCTTTTCTTCAGAGGGCAGAGGAAATCCTGGGACAGGAAAAACGCAGCTTCAGACTTTCAACATCAGGTCTTCACTCCCAACGAATCGTTTTCAGACCATCTCAAGCGAGACTTGATAAACAACACGAATTAATGTGATGTTAACTCCATACTCACACGGCTGATCATTCATGAAGACTTCACTGCCAGTCTTCTTAGGCAGGTCATATACAGTGGAAACCAGATACATGAAAACTGGTTTAATAAAACTGGAAACCATAGTTTCATCGATAAACATAGCTGTTTCTAATTGGAGGTCACACACAGAGAGACATGATTGAAACGCAACTGTTGTAACACGAAACTGAGCCGAACGGTGTCCAAAAACTTCAGTTTATTTGAGAACACTGTCGTGGAGGAACTTGCTGTGACATCCTGAAGGAAATGTCCTACACAATCTGAGGTCTCTCTTCTGAACTAAATGGTGTACTCAATATCTTCTTCGCCTTCTTCGACGACGTCATCATCACCTGAGGAACAAAACATTCCCCTTATCTGATGACGTGGTGGTGATTGAACTAAGGACGTTTATACTTTTGTTCAGCAAGAAACTATTGTCATGAAACTTATTACAAACAACTGATATCCTCTGTGAACGTCCCGCCAAAGACTCTATAAAACGTGATGCAGCAAGGTGGACAATACCTTTTCCACGCCTGTCTCAGTTCCCAGAAGCGCAGCAACCTGCACTCGAACCTGAGACCTCGACTCAGCATGACCCAGTTCTGTGTGGTGTTTTGCAGACTACACGGAATTCGCTGCAACTACGTCTCCGCCTGCAGTTCTCGTACGTGCAGCCAATAGCAGGCTTCGGAATTGTGGCGGGTAAGCCTGAAACAGCAAGCAGAAAGAACTAACAGTCTGCGCTTTGCAGAGTCAGACTGAATTGAGGAATGGTGGATCGCTTAAACATTTTACAAACGATCCGTTATCACAATTCCAAGTAGAACGACTCTAAATATTAATGGGTTTCTAAATTTTGTTAATCGTCTAGTTTCCCGAATGAAACATAAAATTTCGGAAACTGGATGTTTCTGTCCTCAAGTTAATAGGTGTAAAGTATACCTACTCAGCTTTTCCGTCGGAAAGAGCTAGTCTCGATCCCTGGACCCAAATGAGTGAGTAGACGGTGAGATTTCGGGTTCTCAGGGCGGCAAGTATAAAGACGGCTGACCTCTGGGATGTTGCGCCGTGTAGCCTGGTACAAGTTTATCGACGTTTCAGGAGTACTAGCCACCTTATCAGAATCTTCAAGTAATTACTCCCCTTCCCACTACTTCGCCTGAGGGCGGAAACAAATCCACATACCTAGGCTCAAATAGAGGCCGACGTTGTTCCGTTATCCCTGGGAAAGGCTTGCCTTATTAAATAACCGCTACTGATTTCATTACACAACTGGCTTATGGCAGAAGAGTATAGCTGTTTTTCGAGTGTCTGAGAACTAAATTTAGGCCAACTTGTAGGAATTACGTATACTCGAAGACAATTTCACAAATGTTTTAAAGAAAATAAGTACCACAATATCACATTTTGTGTGTAGTGTGAACTTTTCTTGAATAAGGCTAAGAATATATAGTAATATCAGAGAGATATAGACTAAAATCTAACCAAGAAATCGTTCTATGGGACGTCTAAAATTAACAGATTTTCTGTTTCGTAGTTTCATCGTTTACGGTAGCACAAATCCCTATCTTGTAGAAACCTTGCTTTTAGATCCGGTTTCAATTAAAACGACGTTCGACTAATTTGTAATCAAAACAGGTCACAGAAGTTCAACAGAATGCGGTACATGAAAGAAGTAGTCTAACATGACATGAAAAGTTCTCGGAATATTTATCAGCGTCAACTGTCTGTAAAATAAACTAATTACACACATGCTTAACCCTATGTTTCGTCTCTTAATGATGAGGGTCATTTAAGATTTTATGTATGTAGTTATAAAGTAGCTTTTCTGCACCAGCTGGAAAATGTCACTCCTCTTCTCTGCTTTGCAAAGTGTTAAGCTCCCTTCCTCTGCCTTTAAATCTGAAGGATCTCATTTGCCTGAATTGCTAAGAAAAACTACAAAGATTTTCATTCAGAATACTTTGAACATTCTGATAAGATAATCACTCGAGAGCGGGGTTCTAAATTTTAGCATGAATCGTATTTTTTTTAATATTTTTCGCCTTTGATTGAAAGATAACCAACCGTCTGAGAAACCTTCAGTTATGTCATCAACTTTCTTGGTGCCTCACAGGAAATAGTTGCCTTTATATATATATATATATATATATATATATATATATATATATATTTATATATCTTATTTTGCTTATTTGTTTCTAACGAAGTTTATATATATGTTCGAGGTTAGTTTTCCCGTTTGGGTTCTTCCGTAGTTTTCTTCAACACACCACTTATCACCTCTGGCAGCTTCGCCGCCCCAGAAATTACTGAAGTGACTGGATCCTAAAAAGTAAGCAAGTCAATGGCTTATACATTTTCGGGTAATGTAACGCTGTTGGATAGAAACACTTCTGAGTAAAGTATTTAGCTTTTGGAAGAAGCTAGCTGAGCTGAAGGTGTTGCAGCCCATGAGTTACAGCGCTGTTCCATTGGCAGACCTCGTTTCACTCCCTTCTGTGGATAGCTCGCCTTTCTTTCTGGTTCTGCAAGTCCGGCTCGACCCTATCTACCAGTCGTTGTACGAGCAGTGAACCGCACGGATCCAAGAAGCCGTTGATGGTACAAGTGAAGTGTTAATGTCGCCGTCACCATGGGTCCTGGTGTCAATACTTAGATGACAATTACTTTTAACCTTCTCGCAGGTTTAACTCTCAAACTTGTCTGGTGGCTACGGCAGGACGTGTGCAGGGATTCAGTGTGCTCAAGTATACAGTGTTCGACGTTGAGAAGTGAAGTGTGAGCAGTGTGTAGAATATTTCTAAAAACTGGAATTAACACTTACATTTTTCGTACTACATGAAGCATGTTGCAGCCTAGGAGAACATTGTTACTGTATTTAACAATAGTGATATTAGCTACGTGCGATTTGTTTTTCCGTAATGTGGACTGCGAAACAGGTAATTTATTTTTTTATATGTATTCCTTCTATAATATATAAATCCCCATAGAACTGGTCTTGAATATTCTGCTGTCCAAGTTGCTACTTATCCTCTCCTTACTGAAATTTACTTTTTGGGGGAAAAGGCATTCCGTTAGGATATTAGCAACATGTAGCATTATTTACCGGTTACCTTCACACAAGTGCCCCAAGTTCTCAACAAGTTTATTTCCTAACACCACTAACCTATATTGAGTTACCATTTTAACAAAAATTCGTCGCTTTTATTTTTGTAGCAAGAATAAAATATCGAACATTTGTAAGTAAACATTTAGAAGTTGTGTGTAGGACTATGCATTTTGGTTTAAAGTTTTTGAAATAAGTGTTCTGTACCCTGGTAAATACTTTCTATGAATTAGAATTTATTTTTCCTTCATGCTTAATATTTTCAATATGTGTATCACACCTGACACATAGAAAACACCCATTTTTGCATAACAAAATCCATATTATTTTAAAAGTAGTTATAATAATCCATCTAGTGCAGAGATGTACGTACAGTCTTTTCAGATCGCCGGTCACACTGGACAATACGATCTCAAGTTCCAATCAATAACAGACTCTAACTTAGGTTGCTATATGCTTAATCTAGTGAATGCTCATTTAAGGTAAATTCGGCTTAATAATCAAGGTTCATAATATATCACTTCTATGTATACATAACAGCCAAGATTCTTGGACACGAATCGAAACCAATGTAATAATATTTCTATTTATTGTTTATTTAGCGACGGTCCCTATACCTCAGATTAGTGAATAAATAATAAGAAATAATGTGGAAGGAAGCGGCTCTGGTGTAATTTAGGAATTTAAGGCACACTCCGGCATTTTCGTGGAAGGTCTGTCAAGATAACCGTTCTTCAGGCCGAGATTTTAACCAGGACCTCTCGAATACGAAGCAGTCGGCAGCGACTCCATATATCGACTTCAATTCAACACATAATGCTCATACGACCATAAAACTTGCAAGTTTAGACGTTCACCTTGAAGCATAGCACGACTTCATCTAAAGGTTCGGGTTCAAATCCATGAGAAATGTTTAAATATAATCAAGAAACGTATTTACACAAGCAGTTTAGAAGGACGGGTGTCAGACACCGATACAAGGAGAAAAGGAAAAACGGATTCATGCAGCCTTGGGGTTGGCACCAAAAGGGTGCGCTTTATCGAGCATGATGTCCGTCTGCTGTCTAATAAATGTGCTGTGAATAAAGAGTACGACAGCTATGGCACGTGCAGGAGATTAACAACGTTTCTGACGGTACACGCTTAAAAAGATTTAATAACACATAAGTGATTTTCTGGAAATCATCCCAGTTAGGTGAGAAACAGCCAATAATTTAAGATTTGATTCCGAAGACAACAAACTTCAGTCAAAAATGTATTTAAGACGTAGGACTTAAATCTCAGACTTACATGACAGCGGCAATGTGGTAACGCCGTAGTACCGTGAATTAAATTTTATCAAAATCTGTCAAAAGACTCGGAAAATACAGGTAAAAGTTCCTGTGCACTTCAGAGTCACTTATCTGTCTGCTTCCGACTGCAGAAACACTTCTCACTGTTCTATTCCGTTGTCCATCTGTCGCAAACTTCATAAAAACAAGTGCAGCTGGATGCCTGTGGTAGGTGGTTTGTTCTTACAAGAAGAATTTTAAGTCCGTATGTAAAAACAAAGTAGTTGATCGAGTCAAATTCTTATTGTACATTATAAAACAAAATACATAAATATATATTTATATTATTAATTAGTAGGAGCCTATAATTTTGTATAAATCTAGTTATAAGCATTAGTTACTTTAATTTCATTCTTCGGGGATTTGGCGTCATGTAGACTCATCATCATCTTCAGCCCATAAGATGGAGACAGTATGTTTCTCCGAAATGTTGGCATCTACCGAGGAGACAACAAGGCACAAAAACCCAGATCATCATTCCACCGCCGTGAAAACCTCAATTCTTACATTAGTTATGCTCCTATTTTCACCCAGCCTCCTCTACAATGGGTACCGGGGTCCTTTCCCGGGGGTAAAGCCGGCCGGGGCGTGATGCTGACCACTCACCCCCATCTAGTGCCGAGGTCAAGGAAGAGAGGAGCTATACCTCCACTCACCCCAAACGCCTACATGGCGTATAGTGGGACAAACTTTACTTTACTTTACTCCTATTTCGATGTCTGTTGCGTATTTAATATTGTTAATAACCCAAACTGAACTTTCCTTTAACTTTACTTTCCTGCTATTATGTTCTACTACTACTACAGCTAAGTTTTAACTTCCACAACGCTCTTTGTCACTACACCACAAAAGATTATCAGGTAGGACTACTCGCAAGATACCTTCGTGCTCTACTAATAAAATACACACTCCTATTCAGCTGACCCTGTTTACCGCCAGCCTCGCATTGCGCCCAAAAATGCATCAGAAAAGAAATTAATTCCCTACGTAATTTCAAAGGAAGTCTCCTAGTAAAAGTCATTCCCGCCAGCCGCCAACATTTGTGACAATGCAAATGTATCGATAAGTATTATAATCACGTCCGATACAGTGCCATTGCGACTTTTACATTTTCTTGTAATATTAAGTGGTAAAAATACTGCACATCAAAAGTTCTGCGTAAGGAATGAAATCTGTTCAGATAAGAAACCACTTACGGCGATTCGAGGAGGTAGATGGTTTCTCACTTCGGAACAGTAGTATAAATAATAGCATTTCAAATAAAGCAAGCTGCTACTGGGAAGGGCGTTGATTAAAAAATGGAAACATTTCCCAGAACAAGCTGCACACAGTAACAGGTAACATTACAATAATTCTGGTAGAACAGTTACAGATCTACTTTTTTCTGTTTGACAGGGCAGTGGACTCTTCTTAATGAAAGTGTTTTCCGAACACTTTACGCAAATAACATACGGCACTCAAACACACTTTAGTTTGAAGTAAGGCAGTTAAGTACCACACAGATGCAGGTGTGAACTGTATAGTCACAATCAATTGCGCTTGCCTGACATGAGGGAAAGTGTTAGTGTAAGGAAGGCGTGTGCGCTTACAAAAACCAATACCCCCAGTACATGTAAGCAAATTACTGCGAGCCATTTATATCGTTTATGAACCAAGCCTATCAGTCGGCACTGTCTACGATATATGGGGGGAAAAAGTTCAATTTACCGCCTACCCTGCTTTAAAGTGAATATTCGTGGTATACAACGAGGCACAGTGCTTGAGAAGGGCTCGGTCGCTCATCTGGTCAAAATATTCTCCGTCACCTATGGAACCAGGCGGAACATCGGAATGTTCACAGTACCAAGTCACTGGAACCTGGTCTAGCTCTGCGGGTTCTGCTGAAGACAGCGTGGCATGACAACTGAAGGTGCAGGCGAAGTCTACGAATGTTTCGCTTCTGCACACGCGTTCACGTCTCTCTCCTTCCGCATCTCTCAAGTTTAGCAGATCTTTGTGACCGGTTAATTGATGACATTTGCAACAGTAAAAAATTAGTTGTTATGATTTTCAAAATTGTCATCACAGCTCGCTGTATTAATAACGATGATGTTTTTGATATTATTGAATAATTTATGTTTTAATTAATGAAAATGTTATTATAAATAGGCTTATTCGTAGCAGACCGCTTCATAACCAAGTACAAGTCATCTGACCCTGAGCCAGAGCAGTTCAAATGAATTTTATCACAACACGCTTCAATACTATCCTCCATCTGTTTCTTGGTTCTTAAAGTTGATTTCATTCATTATGAATTATTTATCTGCTATGCGTTCTTTCTTTTCACATTTCAGACGACCGAGTTCTGGATGATTAAATGGGTTTAAAGTCGACTCATCTGCACTAGTTATTTGATTCTGTCAGCAAGTGAACAAAACATTATAAATTAAACTAAACGTTTACTGACTTCACCTGAATTTGTATGGTAAATTAAATCCACATTTAACGTACGAAATGCGCTATGACTCAGCCATTAGAACTTTGTAAAAACAATGTGTACAATGTGAATGTATTTATTTGTGGTTTATTTAATGACGCGGTCAATATCTCAGATTATATAACGTCAAAAGATTGGTGAAAAATGTAATGGAAAGGTTATGGGAGGAAGTGGTCGTAGCCTAATTTAAGGTACTATCCCGGAGTTTGGTTGGAGGTAGTGAATAAAATCACTAACAACTTCAGTCGAGTTGACTGGTACCCGAGCGAAGATTTGAACCCGAAACCTCCCGAATACGAAGCAATAATGCTAACTACTCGACTACAATATTCAGTGCACCATGTGAAAATTAAGAAGGCATTAAACTATGGGCTGTAAAGATATGTATTCCACCACCAATCAATCTCGACACTGCTGTTAGCAGTTGCTGAACTTGTTATAGGAACCGGAAGTTCGTTACGGATTGGACCCCATGCTAAGACCGTATTTTTATACCCTGGTGCTCTTAGAAGGGCGTTTATATTTTAAAATATTGGATACACAAGTCTGGAAGACTCAGAACTGAACAAGTTCAGTACACGTTTAAAGGTTCTGAAAGTAACTATAGGAAGCAATAATGTGTCGTGCCAGATGGATGTGGCAACGTCTACTTGCCATACCAACACACTTTCACCACAGCACTTCGATTCTTCTTAGCGTTTAATCCATACCTAAGTAAGAACATTCTAAATGCGCTCATCTCTTATCTCACAGCACTGATCACTTCGAGGGGTTATTATTCAGTTTAAAGTTTCTAATGTTAAGTAGAACAACTCTGCAAATTCAATATTTTTATGACGTTCTTGGATATAGCGACCAGATTTACAAAGACCTGGTTTAGACCACACGCATTACACACATGTCGGAGAAGATACGCAACACCAAGGCGTTCAAATGTGTTTCAGACGGTAATAGTGTTCGGCAGAGTACATCAGTAAATACTGAACACAATTCGGGAAGTTCTAGCCGTTGGCGACAAACGTTCAC